CCTATGACTTTTTAAAGTTAAATTAGTTTAAATTAAACTAAATCTAAAATTCAGTTTCTCAGTCACAATAGCCACTTGCAGCTAATGGCCGCCATATTGGGCAGCTCAGAACCCCGAACATTTCCATTACTGAAGAAAGTTCTGTTGCATTGCCCTGGTTCTAAAGAAAGCAGGGCATGGCTCTTTGTCCCTCCTTCTCTAGGACCAATGTTCTGACCTTCTCTCGGGTTCACCCCACTTGCTGTCTCTGGATTCAAGCCTCAAGGCTGCTGCTGACTTTCAAACTCAAACAATGTCCCTGAGTCTCTCACTTGAAACCATGAGGTCCTCTGACAAGCTTCAGTAACTGTCCCTTCCACAAGGGGGTCTCCTCTGATGGGAGATGAGAAGTTGTGCCCTTGCCGTATGCTTCTGAAGCACCCTGTTTCCCTTCTCAGAACACACATCACTTCTCTTGAAATTGTTCCATTTGCTTCATAACACTGAGAGGCTGCAGAGGATGGACCCGGGCCAGGCAGCCCAGGTTTGGACCCAGCTCTATTCCCGGCTCCCCATGTGAACTTAGATAAAGATAATTGGCCTCTCTGGGCCTCATGCTCTTCTTCTGTAAAATGGGGAATCAACTGTACGTACCTCACAGGACTATGGGGTAATTACGTGAGCTGGGGCATATCACACACTTTCAAGAGCACCCAACACATAATTTATGCTGGCAAAAATAAATAACTAAAAAGCACAGCATCTTCAAAGGCAGGGCTGCTTTGGTCTTCTGTGCATCACACCTCAGGCTACGAAATGACACCTGAGGCAAAGCAAATGCTCCATCACTACTCGTTGAATTGAACTGTGTACGCGTAGACAGGCTCGCTTGAACCCCGTGCTGCCGGGAACATACTGTCTAGTCCTATTCAGAGCAGCGCTAGTGAGATATCGTGCAGGGACGCTCACTGCCGCCGTGTTCACAAAGTACCCAAAATGGCGGGGCGGGGGGTAACATCCTACATGTCCACCTGCAGGGGACGGGTCAGCATACACTGGGATACCCCACAGCATTTTGAAAGAGCAAGATAGAACTGCATGGGGCGATGTGGAAAGATTTCCAAGACACGTGAAGTAGGAAGGACAAGAATAGAGGGAAATGAACGGGAGTCCATAGGCGCATGCCCAGTGCGTGTATGTTTTCTGAACCTCTGCACAACACCCTTTCACCGTGGCTCCCGATGGGGAGGAAGGGAAGCAACTTGGACTTAAGTATGTTGACATTCTTTACTATAGTGAGGATTCCATCACCTACATTTATTACTTTTACTGAAAGTGAGCAAAGTGGCTTGCATTAATGTGTGTTGTGGGGGTGCCCGGCTGGCTCAGTCAGCTCAGTTGGAGCCAGCCAGGCACTTCCAGTGGCATGAATAGCATGCAACTCTTCACCTCAGGGTCATAAGTTTGAAACCCACATTGGGTGTAGTGATTACTAAAATAAATAAATAAACTTAAGAAAAAAGTCTTTTCCTCTCTGGAACCAGTACAGGGCAAGAGAGAAAAAAATCCAAACAGGAAAAAAAGACAGTGAATACCTGGGAAGTAAATAAAGATGTTTTACTGGCAAATGCCCTGGTTTACTGTCGAGCGGGAGGGAGAGGGGATGTACCACGGTGGCACTTTCGGACCACGGTGTGTGTAAATCTAAGAGCTGATGCTGATTGAGAGCTTACATGGGTCAGACACTGTGCTCAGCTCTTTCCAATTATTGTCTCATTTAATCCTACCTGTGAGGAAGCGCTATTATTATCCTCATTTCACCAAAGGGAAAAGGGAGACACAGAGCATTAAGCGACTTGCTGGAGGGCACACAGCTCCACTGCAAAGGGGCTTAAATTCCGTCTCAAGCAGGGCGTCAGGCCAGCCTGCACGCTTGTCAGTGTCCAACAGACAGAGCCGTCGGGGCCCGTCCAAGGGAGGCAAGGGCAGAGGAAGTTCTCTAAAGATCGAGACAGCCCTACTCCTTGGACAGTATCTGGCATTTCATAAAAATTCCATTTTGCTTCAAACTTATGAGAGTCAACATAATACACTTCAGTGGGTTCCAAAAATGTATGAGCTCTTTCATATGGTAGGGAAATTATACAGCTAAAAGGTCAAAGGCTGACAAACACAGAACAATCAAATGGCTGAAAAACGGACTGGGTTAATGCTGGGCATGAGAAGATTTCAACTCCAAACAACGCAGCAACACTCACAGAAAGACGGTTCTATACGAGACGATCGGACACTCTCTGAAAAACGTTTCCCTGTTGCTACCCACCATGAAGTTAGGTCAAAGTACAGACGAGTTATTTCTACAACTTTGTAGTTACATTCGGGATATTCTCCTTGGGGTTTGCGGGTAAGAGTATGAGGATGTGAAAGTCAGACTGAGCTGGGTTTGGTTCCAGGCTCCAGCATTCCAGCAGCAGTGGTACAACCTTGAACATGTCCCTAAATGCTACTTGGTCTCAGCTAATCCATCTGAAAACTCCGTGATAACAGTTACCTCTGCCTAAGTGATACAATTAATTGGGAAACAAAGTGACTCTGCCTCTACATCATTTGTAATAGAAACAACTGGAGAGAATGACTTTCTCTTCCTTGTTTCCCTGACAAGTTGTTGTCTACACCACGTGCTTCGCTTTTCCAATCCAACACATACTCTTTGGCATTGCACAACCACTCTCACCCTCAACCTTCCCAAAAATGCAATTTTTTTTTTTTTTAAACATTAAGGGATTCAAGCTCCCCAGATGGGCATAATAACAGATTCCAAATAAGAACAATTCACTTTCTGCTAATGAAAGAGGATTCACATTTGCCCTATTCTGGGCCACGTGAATTTTTAACTAGATTCGCATTTGCAAGACAACCTTGAAGAAGCTCCTGGTGCGTCCACTTAGCCTCCTTCCCTCCCCTCACTGTAGGCTTTAGTGAATTTTCCTTGGGCTGGGTTTTCTCAGACCCCCTCCCAGTTTCCCAGCCACCAGTCATATCGCAACACTTTAAGGAAACTGAGACAATTGATAATTAGCAATGCACTCAAGGGAAATACTCCTGAATTCACAATCAGAAATTTGATTAACATCTAAACACAGTCCAGTGTATATTCACAATTTGGAAATGAGCAGTAGGGACAAAGATAATGCTCTTCCTCCCCCCCCCCCCCCCGCAAAGAATATCAAACCATAATCAGTATAACTAAAATCCATGACCATTACTTAACCGTTAGCCACTGTCTGTAGAGAAAGGGCTATTATCATATCAAAGCTATACTATCCCTAATAAAATAATAGTCCACTTTGTACGTACATTTTGTTTTTAACAAAAAAACAAACTACTACTTGAAAATGTCCTTATGATCACCAAGTAAATCTACTCTTGAAAATGTCCCTGTGATCACCAAAATAAATCCAAATGTTAAAAGACTGTAAAGAAGTACACACAATAATTTGACCAAGTTAATAATCTGACCTAGTAAATTGGATATTATGCTCTTCTGTCTCAAATTATAACACTCAAAAGAGCAATCAAGCTACAATATTGTTTTCAGAAAACGTATGTTGACTTTCTTCCCTACATTTGGCTTTGACCCTGCTATCCCATCTGGGGGATCTCATCCTATAGACTTATTTGCACTTGTGTGAAATGATTTATGCCCGTGTTATTCAACACAGTAGTGTTGTGAAATATTAAAAATCTTTATCCAATGGGAACTAGTTAAATAAATCATGGCCATGCTGATACAAAGAGATTACACAGCCATTTAAAAAACAAAACAAGTGCTCTATTACTGAAACTGTAAAGAACTATAAGTTACTGTTAAAAGACCAAGGTGCCAAACATCATGTATTGTATACTACCTTTTTTACAAAATAGGGAAGAAATGAAAGCACATGAAGAGAACACACATTTATGTACACACATGGCACAGGTATCCTTGTATTTACATAAAGAAATTTCAGAAGGGTGAGCAAAAACTCACGGCACTGGATGTAATATGGAGAGAAAGGAGAATCTGAAATTAGGCAGATAAAGATAGATATACAAAAGAGATTACTTATTTCATACTTTTGAGATATTGTGCTTCATGAACCATATCTATGTATTATCTACTCAAAAAATACATTAAAAATCAATTAGTGCTTTAAAAAAATGACATTCTATTCCTTCAAGATTAAAACAACACCTGTTGGGCGCTGGGTGGTTCAGTGGGTTAAGCCTCTGCCTTTGGCCCAGGTCATGATCTCGGGGTCCTGGGATCCAGTCCCGCATCGGGCTCTCTGCTCAGCGGGGAGCCTGCTTCCCCCCCAATCCTCGCTTGCCTGTTTTCCCTGCTTGTGATCTCTCTCTCTCTGTCAAATAAATAAATAAAATCTTCAAAAAAAAACAAAAAACAAAAAACTACCTGTAAGGTCACATTTTGTAATTGACCATGATTCTTTTCCCTCTTTTTTTTCTTTTTTCTTTTTTTTAAAGATTTTATTTATTTATTTGACAGATAGAGATCACAAGTAGGCAGAGAGGCAGGCACAGAGAGAGAGGAGGAAGCAGGCTCCCTGCTGAGCAGAGAGCCCAATGCGGGGCTTGATCCCAGGACCCTGGGATCATGACCTGAGCCAAAAGCAGAGGCTTTAACCCACTGAGCCACCCAGGCACCACTCTCTTTTTTCTAATACCATGCAAGCCCATACTACACAACAACACACACACTCACACACACACACATGTATGTACAGTCTTCAATTAATAAAGGAGAAACCTCTTGGAGAAAAAAAAGAGCCCCCAAACTATTTTTAAAGAGCGCCACAAAGCCTTACACCGCCTATTTTCTCCGTCTTAGTAAGGTGAACTGCAGTCTCCTACAGTCGATCAGACTCCGCTAGTTCACAAAACACTCCTGCCTGCATAGCTCTGGAGCCTCTCCAGAGCCCAGGACAGAGGCAGCCTCACGGCCCTCACACAGATACACTCACCTTCATAGGTGCCGACTTCCAGAAGGGTCCCGCTCTGCTCGAGGTCCAAGAATTCCTTCACAGTCAGAAAGTTATAGTCCACGCCAGGCACTTCTCCTTCTCTGGGAGATCGGGTTGTGCCTGCAGCCGACAAGACAGATGCACAAGACACCATCAGTCCATGAAAACAGGAAGCTCCCCATTCGGTTTGTAATTGGAATAACCTGTTCTGTAGGCTGGACAGCCTAAGCCTGCCCACCCATCTGCCCAGACAGGGACCTGGTAAGGACAACTTTTTTCTAACAGCACAGCAGCCTCACTTCCACCCTCTCATGCTTGTGACCTTTGGATGGGAGCAAGAGCCATCCAAGCACCGCTGGGTAGCCTGGGGTGAGTTTTTATCATTTCTTAAAATGCACTGAATGAAAAAGGCAAATGGGATTTTAGACAGACAACATTCACAATCCGCACCTTTTACGACTCCAGTAGATACTCAAAAGTTATCCACCTTAAGCTCACAGCCTAAGGGGTTTATATTTTTGACAAAGGCCTCAAAATTCCTGTGTTTTGAAGGACATCCGGCAAGTTCCAATGTAATAAGCCCTTTGAAGAAAATGACACCCACTGCATAAACACATCACCAGAGAAATGCAATTGCTATCAGTGGTTGGCTATCTCCCAGGGATTAAAATGCTGCTGCTCTCTGTGTAATTAATAGGTTTGATGAAAAGAGGCCACCCGTAAGTTCTGACAGGAGAGAAGGGGCACTGAATTTGCTAGAAAATTCTCCCCTTGACCATGATCGTTCTCTCAATGACTAATAAATACAACAATTCTTCTTATGAATAATGTAGGGTCTCTAGAGGATTTGAGTCACCCAGCTCAGGTGCTAGGCTCTGGGCCTCTCATTTTAGCTTAATCTCAACCAAAAGTGTAGAAGTAGTGTGGAAGGAATATGACTTACACACAAACCGAGAACAGAAAACAAATCAAGAAGCAATTATGCAGTGTGTGCAAGGAACCTCTGTTAAATACTATAAAGCCTCAAAAAAGAGCAAACCACAGGATTTCTGCTCTCACATTCAAGTTAGGTGATATGATCCACATAACTTGCTTTGCAAGGCACCATACCTGTGCTGCTCTAAGGTCGATGTTTTCCTACATAATAAGCGGGGATTTTTCGGTATTCCTAAGGACTTAATAAGCAAGGATTTCCCTCTAACCCTAGAAACTTTAAAGCAATTCAATACCCAGCTGTATGTGCCTTGTGGCTCTAATGTTCTCTCAACACTTGTCTATGAGAATGATCATGTCTGCACACCTAACGGTGCCATCCAGCATTTCTCTTAAGTCAAAAACAGAACAAAACAAAACCAACCACCAAAAAAACCAAAAAATCCCCCAAACCAAAAACAAGCCCCTCAACACTTGTCGCACACTTAACTCAGGATAAATACATTTTCAATGAGCCTGGTTTCTCTAATATCTGAAATCAGAGCTTTATAAATCGCCTCAAACTCCCCTGCTATGGTTGTATTGAATACGTTTGCTTCTCTGGAGCTTTCCGGTAGAGAAGCTGCGTATATCTGGAAGTCCACTCTTGTACGATTTCCTGATTTGTTCCTATTTCGGGCTCCCCCGACAGATGATGACAAGCCCTTCAGTTAGCTTACAATTTTTAAATTGACATCTTCGATGTCCGACACATAACAGGTACTGCATTAACACAGAGAATACCAGAAACCGTAGCTGAGCAGGTGTCTACAGTGGGAATGGTAAGTTCAAGGCTTGCCACTCCTCCCAACGTGTGGTCTTAGCAACTTAGGTCCTTGGCTTCTGTTATTACTTGGTTTCCTCATCTGTGACACAGGGATAATAATGGTACCTACACTATAGATTTGCTGTGGGTACTGAGTGAAATAAATCTTTTAGAAGACATAGCTCAATAATCATCAGCACATACAATAGTTTATGTCATTGTTAAAATGAAGTGAGTTGACAGGATGCTACAGTTCAAAGGCTATATATATATATATAGGCAAAGGGGCAAGGCAGGGGCTATATATATATATATATAATGTATGTTATATATATATATATAATGTATGTTATATATATATATAATGTATGTTATATATATATTTATATCTCATTACATCTCTCACTAGGTTTCATTTTATTCAATAACTATTTATTGAGGTCCCAATTCATGCTGGACACCGTGCAGGCACTGGGGAAACACTGGAAAACAAGACAAAGCCCCTACCCTAGTGAAATTTACATCTTACTATGAAAGACAGAAAACACATGTGTGAGTATAACAAAATTTCAGGTGGAAATCACCATAGGAAACATAGGTTAAAGTGTCTCAGAGCAATATAGGTTAAAGGGTTTAAAAATATCTTGGAAGAAGGAAGTCTGCCGGGGAGGAGGGAAGCTATTTCAGGACGGGGATTAGGGAAAGCCTGGCTAAGGAGGTACCACCCAAATGGAGAGCCCTGCCAAGGTGATGGGAAAGCATTCCGGGCAGGGGGAAGGGCCAACAACTCTGATGCAGGAAGAGGCAAAAAGGCCAGAGGAATAGTGACAGAGTAATGGAAAAGGGTTAAGGAAAGCCATAGCAAACACTTCATATTTTATCCCAAGGAAGATGAGAAGCCACTGGAGGGTTTTCAGCCGAGTGGTGGGGGGAGGTGTTTGTGCTAGGATTCATTTTAAAAAGATTTTTGAGGGGCGCCTGGGTGGCTCAGTGGGTTAAAGCCTCTGCCTTCAGCTCAGGTCATGATCCCAGGGTCTTGGGATGAGCCCTTTATCAGGTTCTCTGCTCAGCAGGGAGCCTACTTCCCCCTCTCTCTGCCTACTTGTGATCTCTGTCTGTCAAATAAATAAATAAAATCTTAAAAAAAAAATCATTGAGCTTGACAGAGAACAGGCTTTGGGCAGAGCAGGGGGAGGTGGGCACAAACAGAAGCAATGAGATCAGCGAGGTAGTGATTACAGGGTCCATGGGAGAGAAAATCAGGTCGTGATCAAGAAGAATAGGGCAGAGCTAGTAAGAAGCCATCAGATTTCTATCATACATTGTGACTATTTCCAATAGCTGTGACACAGTCCACAGGATGGACGTATTACACTCATCAAGCCACACGGGGTCTATATTCTGAAGACAGAGCTTGTTGATGGGAGTGGATGGAGTGTGTAAGAAAAACAGAGGGATAAAGACTGACATCCCATTCTTTGACCTGGGCAAACGGCCTTGTGCCCTTCATAGAAATCAAGAAGACAAGGGAGGAAGTGGTTCTTAGGGGAAAAACAGTCATTTAAACATTCATTAAAGTGTCTCAGAGCAATACAGGTTAAAGGGTTTAAAAGAATCTTGGAGGAAGGAAGTATTTGCTTCGGGACATGTGAAGTCTGAGATGCCTATTAGACACCTAGATGCAGAGGGCTGTGTACAGCTGACCAGGTAAATCTGAAGGTCGGAGTACAGGTTGGGACATAAAATTGGGAGTGATCAGTAAACCACTGGCATCTGAAGGTAAAGAGAACAGAGATAATCTGGGAGGGAGGGGTAGTATACAAAATGAAAGCAAAAAGTTGGGATTGAACAATTAAAACCCTGTAATTTTCAGAAACAGAGAACGGAAGCACTTCAAAGGAGACTAGGAGGTAGCAGTCAGCAAGGCAGGGGCAAAAGAAGAGGGTGTGAGGTCCTGGAGTCAAGTGAAAAAAGCCATTTAGCCTGCTACTGGGAAAACAGTCTACAGCATATTGGGAAATCCCAGTGTGGGGCAAGAAGAGAAACTCTTTGAAACTTGCTTTGAAGGGATCTGTCCTAAATGTGTTCTACATGGCAACTCAGCCTCCAGACCAAAATTCCATTACCTTCATCTATCTCCCATTCCCAGCCCCACCCCCTAAAAGATGAAGATAAATAAAACCAACAAAAGATTTGTTAGGTTTTTAAAGTCTTCTGAAACCAGACAATGGTTTTTTGGTGTTTTTTTTTCCCCCCGTCCTTGTTGAGCCATCTTCTCTTTCCTGTGTCTTTCAACCATGTTTTTAGAACCCATCTGTCATACTTACTTTAAAGACAACAGTCACCCCTGGGTCTTAATTTCCTGAAAGGATTCAAAATTACGAGAAACTTCAAAAATGCTACATTTTAGAAAAAAACATGAAATTCGTAGATACCATTTTCCCATGTAAATAAATATGCTTAGTGGCCTTTGAGCTGCAGGAGAAGGAGACGGGGGCGGGTGAGTCTCCACCCACAAAACCTTCAGGGTTTATTACCCAGACAAAACCTTTCTACTCCACAAGCTAGCAGGAGGTTTACTCCCAGTTATCCTCTGAGCAACTCGCCCTGGGTCTGGGCCAACATGACCAGGCTCCATTCAGTGACGCGAGGGAGAAAAGGGCAGGGGAGGAGGCCCCGCCTCCTCTTTTCTTCTAGCAGAATGACAGGCTGCCGGCTGGACACACGCCTGGCAGATGGCATTTCAAAGGGTTTTCAGGAGCCATCTGGGGTGGGTACAATTATTACAAACCACGCTTCTAACAAAGCCAGAAGGGTTACTTCCTGGCAGAAGAGAAGTAAAACAAATTCTATCATGTTCCTCAGGGATAGCATATTAAAAAAAAAACAATCACCAGGCTGACAAACTGGGGTTTTCTACAGCCTACAACACTGCCTTCTGTTTGTCTAGCCAGAAATCGGGCCAACAATATCTTACAGTTATTAGCTTTAAGCAAATATGCGCAGTGCTCACCTCCTTGCCTTCAAAAAAACCAACAAACACACAAACAAAAACAGGAGTGAGAGATAAACAGTAGGAAAGGACGAACAGCATCCATTTATTGGATCCTTACTTATGTCCCAGGCGAGGTGTTAAATACTAAATCAATGTTACTATATTTAATTGTTACAAGAAATATAAAAGTAAGGACTGTCATTACACTCATTTTATTGATGAGGAAGCTGAGAGTCAGAGAAGGAAAGTAACTTCTGAAGGTCATGTGCACAATTAAGAAGGAAATTAACTGCCCAAGATCATATAACAAGTAAGCTGAGCAGAGCTATGGTCTCTTAGGAAAAAAAAAAAAAATCTCTTTAGATATTTATAGCAGCAGGGTTTGTA